ACTTCCCAGCCCCTGTGTTTTCTTTTTAATGTTTATTATATAATATCCTTTTTTTCTGGGATTTGAATTCAGGGCCTCTCCTTTCTTCAAGAAAGTTTTCCAGAGAATTGTGTGTAAATTTGGATGCTCTCCACCCAGTAAAAGCAGGCAAAGGTCCTTGACATCTACTGGAAGCTGCTTCAGTGGCTGAAACAGTGCTACCCCATCCTCATACTGCCACTTCAGTAATAGGAGTAGCAGATTACTCTTATCATTCACCCTAGCCCAGAAACTGCCTTTCCCATAGCTGACTGCTGGGCTGTGGATAGCCACCACAAACCTAATGGCTAAAATGAACGGAAGTTAACTGCAGTTTGCCAGGCAAGTCACAAGTTTCATTTCTCTCCACTTCATGCTGAATCTCACCAGCCTTTACAGATGTAAAATTTCTCTGTCTTCCCCTGCTAGACTGCTTCAGGGGTCAAGAACCATGTCTTGCTTTCTGCCTTATCCCAGTGCCTAGCATGCAAGGAATATGTAATAATGTCTCCTGAACAAATGAGTAGAAATGATTTAAGCTGGAAAGGATGGCAGCTGTCTGTGGCATCACTGTTGAGCACCCTTGTCATGGGCAGCAGAGGCCAGAGGGGTGGCTTTGATTAACAGCTCCCTACCATGCATGACATAGCCTGTGGGACTTACAGTCTGCCTGGTGAAGGAAAGAGGGGCATGTGGTCACATCTGGGGTATACTCACCTTCAATTCAGGAGAAGAGTTGTGCCCCCCCCCCCAGGCCAGCTGTGAGAACTAGAGCCAGGAAAACCCATGGCTGTATCCCTGGAAGAGGCTGGTAGTGGCTTATATCATTTGTGCCCACCGGGCAGCCCTAGGACTCTGAAAAGCAAGGACACAGAGCTCAGATCACTGTTGCTCAGATTTACTTGTTGTCTTGTATTTGACCAGGGGCAGACATACAAGCCTTCCACAGTGGCCTTTGACCTCACAGACCCTCCATCCATCGCAGCTGCTGCATCTAAGATCCTGCAGAGCTTTGGCTATGTGGACATCCTTATCAACAATGCTGGGATCAGCTACCGTGGGACCATCGTCGATACCAAAATGGATGTAGACAGGAAGGTCATGGAGACAAACTATTTTGGCCCTATTGCTTTAACAAAAGGTAACTGGCTAGAGTTAAAAAGAGAAGAGCACTGGGGCTAGGAAGGTGGCTCAGTGATAGAGTGCTTGCCTTGCATGCATAAGGTCCTGGGTTCGATTCCTCAGCACCACATAAGCAAAAAGAAAAAGCCAGAAGTGGCACTGTGGCTCAGGTGGTAGAGCGCTAGCCTTGAGCTGAAGAGCTGAGGGACAGTGCCCAGGCCCAGAGTTCAGGCTCCACGACCGGACCAAAAAAAAAAAAAAAAGAGAAGAGCACTCTTCCATTGACAGGCCTTTTGTCTCACATGGTTTCTTTTGAGTGAGATATCACCTGTCCCCATCCATCAGTTCATCCTGTGGTAGGTGCCATTACAGTTGGAGTGTTTGCTGTTTACTGTTTCCAGGCTGGTATTTGCATTTTATCTGCCTATGCCTTCCTATCAGTAACAGCCTCACTGGCACAGCATGGCCTGCATTTCAACCCTCCATGGTGTCTATCACAGATTTCAAACTAGGAACTAGGCTCTCTCTGCAACAAAGGGCCTGGGCTGTGGAACTTGGTAGTTAGGCTGTCTGTTGGCTCCCTCCTGCCTTCTCCCCCTTGCATGGCTTTCCATGCTGAGGGGCCATGCTCCTTAAGTATCATGCTCCTTAAGTCCTTGCCCTTTTCCCTCAGCACTCTTGCCCTCCATGATCAAGAGGAAGAAAGGCCACATCGTTGCCATCAGCAGCATCCAGGGCAAATACAGCATTCCTTTCAGATCAGCCTGTGAGTACCTCACAAAATATTGTTGTATTTTCTTGATTATAAAAAATAGTGTGTGGGTTGCTGGTGGGAATGTACACTTATACAACCACTTTGGAAAGCAGTCTGGAGGGTCCTTAGAAAGCTAAAGATTGACCTCCCTTACGACCCAGTCATACCACTTCTAGGCATCTACCCTGAACAACAGGAACCAATATACAAGGACACGTGCACCTCCATATTTATTGCAGCACTGTT